GCTGAGCTGGGAAAGTTGGGGAATGTTCTTTGTTTCTCACTTTGTATATAAGGAGCGACTGCAAGAGCTACTGTGCAGAGTGCAAGCTAGTCAGCAGCAACTCCATGTTTGGACCCAACAAGGTGACTGGAATTCGGTTAGCTTTGCTGGTGCTTTAACAATTGTGAGAAACGGAAAGCCATTCACAGATGGGGGGTATGCCAAAACATTCGTGCTTGGTGTTGAACTTTAGAAATACAGTCTTATCGCTCCAACAAGCTGTTTGCGTTTGAAAACAAACTCTTCGTCGCCAACATTACAACAGGTCATTTATTACACTTTGAAAAACTGGGAGAGTTTAAAGAGGCATGCACAGCAAATGACCCTGCTCAACATCTTAATCGTCAGCAGCTAGCAGGCTTCACATTTAATCTCCTGCAGTCATTCAAAGTGTGCTTTGGAGAATTTTGTGAGCGCACTCGTCTTTTTAAGTGCATCACCCATCCACACAAGTGTGCAGTGGACAGCAAAGACCTGAGTTACATCCCCGGTGTCTCCGTCAGAGATTTTGAGCTACAAGCTGCTGACCTGAAGGCCTCGACATGTGGGTGAATAAATTCAAGTCACTTAATGAAGATTTGGAAACACTTGTACGACAGCAAGCAGAGTTGGCGAGCAAACACAAGTGGGGAGAAATGAAAAAACTTCAGCCAGCTGAATGTCAAAACTTGGAACGCGCTTCCCGTCACCACACACTGCAGCATGTGAGTATTGCTGTACTGACAATGTTTGGCTCTTCATATGCATGTTCTCACATCTAAAGAACATTAAGACCAACCTACAATCGTGTTTAATGGATGGAACTCTCAACGCCTGCATGAAGCTTAACCTCACCACGTATCAACCAGACTACAAAGCCATCAGCAAAACCATGCAGCGCCAGAGGTCGCATTAATGGTAAGAAGTACTTTATTCATCTTTGGGTAGCCGAACGGGACAGGCAAAAAGAAAAGAAAAAATTAAAAATTAGTACATCTGTTGGCTGAGCAGATTTACTAAGCTTAATTAAATGTTTTTGCTAATACTTCATGTGTCACGGTCTGGCAGACAGACCATGGGGGTGTAGGGAAGGAGGACCCAGGCACGGTGCTCTGTGTGCGAACAGTGCGTTTATTTACAGTGTATGGTGCAAAACAACAATAAATCCCCGTGTTTCCAAAGACTCCCGTGTCGTGTCCTCCTTGTGCTCTCTGCTCCGTGTCTGCACTCCCGGTGCTCGCTGCCCTTCGGGCCTCCCACGCTCCTCCTGCGGGAAGTCTCTCAGTCTGCTGGTACGGGACCGGATGCTGCAGAACCTCCTTCCTGATGGAAGTAGTCTGAACAGTTTATGGCTGGGGTGACTGGAGTCCTTGATGATCCTCCCCGCTGTCCTCAGGCAGCGCTTCCTGTAGATGTCTTGGAGGGAGGGAAGCTCACCTCCAATTATCCGTTCAGAGCACCGCACTACTCGCTGGAGAGCTTTGCAGTTGTAGGCGGTGCTGTTGCCATACCAGGTGGTGATGCATCCAGTGAGGATGCTCTCAATGGCACAGTGATAGAAGGTCCTGAGGATGCGGGGGCTCATGCCGAATCTTTTCAGTCTCCTGAGAAAGAAGAGGCGCTGCTGCGCCTTCTTCACTGTTTTGTTTGTGTGTACTGACCACGTAAGATCCTCAGCCAGATGTACTCCGAGGAAACGGAAGCTGCTCACTCTCTCCACAGCAGCGCCGTTGATGGTGATGGGGGTGTGTACTTCTCTGCACCTCCGGAAGTCCACTATCAACTCCTTTGTCTTTGCGACGTTGAGGGTGAGATGGTTGTCTTGACACCAGTGGGTCAGGGCGCTGACCTCCTCCCTGTAAGCCGTCTCATCACCGTTGGTGATAAGACCCACCACTGTAGTGTCGTCCGCAAACTTCACAATGATGTTGGAGTTGTTAGTGGCCGTGCAGTCGTAGGTGTAGAGTGAGTACAGGAGAGGGCTCAGTACACACCCCTGTGGAGCACCAGTGTTCAGTGTGATGGGGGATGAGGTGATGCTGCCCAGTCTGACCACTTGGCGTCTGTCAGACAGGAAGCTAAGGATCCAGCTGCAGAGGGAGCTGCTCAGTCCTAGATCCTGCAGTTTCCTGTCCAGCTTCGAGGGAACGATGGTATTGAATGCTGAGCTGTAATCTACAAACAGCATTCTCACATACGTGTCTCTCTTCTCCAGGTGTGACAGGGCAGTGTGTAGTGTCAGGGCTATGGCATCATCAGTGGACCTGTTGTGGCGGTATGCAAACTGTAGAGGGTCCAGTGAGTCGGGTAGTGCAGAGCAGATGAAGTCCCTGACCAGCTTCTCGAAGCATTTGCTTACGATGGGGGTCAGGGCTACAGGTCGCCAGTCGTTCAATGAGGAGATGGTGGAGGATTTGGGTACAGGGACGATGGTGGCCATTTTGAAGCAGGCTGGGACTACAGACAGAGAGAGGGAAAGGTTGAAGATGTGCGTGAACACTCCAGCCAGCTGAGCCGCGCATGACTTGAGGACGCGGCCGGGAATCCCGTCCGGACCAGTAGCTTTGCGCGCGTTCACCTTCCTGAAGCACTTCCGCACATCCTCCTCAGACACAGTGTGCGCACTGACGTCATCCGCGGTGCGCACACTGTCCGGTCTCATGGTGTTCGCTGCGTCGAATCTAGCGTAGAATACGTTTAGATCCTCACACAGAGAGGCCGTGGTCTGCGGTGTGCTGGTTTTCCCTCTAAAGTCTGTGATCGTGTTTAGTCCCTGCCACATACTCCGAGGGTTGTCAAACTGTTGCTCCACCCTGTCCCTGTACTCACGTTTGGCTGCTTTGATCGTCTTCCGGAGTTGGTAATGTGCGTGTTTGTAGTCCGATGTGTTCGCGGAGGCAAAGGCGGTGCTCCGTGCCGCGCGAACATCTCCGTTAATCCAGGGTTTTTGATTTGGGAAGGATTTAACTGTTCTGGATGGGACGACATCTTCCACGCATTTCCTGATAAATCCACAGACTGAGTCTGTGTATTCATCAATGTCTCTGGCGGCCACGTGAAACATTTCCCAGTCCGCGTGATCAAAACAGTCCCGCAGCGCAGACTCCGATTGGTCCGTCCAACAGTGCACCGCCCTCCGGGTTGGAGCTTCCTGTTTCAGCTTCTGCCTGTAGGCGGGCAGGAGCAGGATGGAGCAGTGATCTGATTGGCCGAATGGGGCGCGGGGGAGGGCTTTGTACGCATCCCGGAAAGAGGTGTAACAGTGGTCGAGTAGCCGGTTTCCACGTGTGTTAAAAAGGATGTGTTGATGGAGTTTTGGTGAGACTTTCTTCAGGTTTCCCTTATTAAAGTCTCCGGCTGTGATAAACGCTGCCTCTGGGTGTGCGGTTTCCTCGCTGCTGATCGCGCTGTACAGTTCCCTGAGTGCTCGGTCAGTGTCGGCTTGTGGGGGAATGTAAACAGCCGTAATAATCACTGCTGTAAATTCCCTCGGTAGCCAGAATGGCCGGCACTTAATCATCAGGTACTCCAGGTCCGGTGAGCAGAAGGATTTGACCGGGTGCACGTTCGCATAATCACACCAGCTGTTGTTGATCATGAAACACACACCACCGCCTCTGCTTTTCCCAGTAAGATCCTGTGACCTGTCCGCGCGGTGCACAGAGAACCCCGGCAGTTGTATTGCGGAGTCCGGTACCTTGTCCGATAGCCAGGTTTCTGTGAGGCAGATCACGCAGCAGTCCCGCATCTCTCGCTGGAATGAGATCCGTGCCCGAAGCTCGCACAGCTTGTTCTCCAGAGACTGCACATTAGCCAGTAATAAACTGGGTAACGGTGGTCTGTAAGTGCGCCGTCTCAGTCGAACCAGAACGCCAGATCTTCTCCCTCTGCGTCGGCGTTTGCGGCCTCCAGGGCCAGAGAACAAAGGCGTCTCAGGTGAGATGAATGGGGGGTCTGCAAACGGAGCGTCCGTGTTGCAAAACTTGAACTCCGGAAAGTTATAAGAAAGACCGTCTTTTATGTCCAGTAAGGTTTGTCGGTCAGTACACAAGGAGACAAGTGCTGCTCGTGAAAAAATAAAGGAAAAGTAAAATTAAACACAGAAGAAAGCCGTTGCTTGGGGGAGCTCGCGACGAGGCTGCCATACTCGGCGCCATCTTGAATCAATTTGTGAAAATGAGCAGACATTTGTTTCCCTAAAATCTGATGTTCTATTTAATAAAAGGCCACAGTGTAGAACATACATAACAACTACAAGGATTTCTTTGGCATCAAATATAAACGCACACATGCAAAATGTAAATAAAATGTGCTGAATTAGCATTTAGCTTAGTCCGAAATGCTCCAGCTGATATGTAAAAACATGACATGAGCATCTGTCATCATCTGGATGATTGCACTGACAGGGTGTGAGTTCCTCTGTTTACCATGGGTGGGTTTGTTAACTCTCCAAATATCATACATCCTGGTCACATGATTACAAGGTTCAGGATAAGCACACACATACAGTGCTAGATAAACAGCTTTGCTTATGTATTAATTTATTAGCCTCAAATTAGAGACAGTAACTTATTTTCAGGTGACGAGCAGATTAGATTATTTGACATCCAATGACAGATAAATAGAAAAAACAAATATTAGCACTGCTGTCAATAATACTACTACTGCACCTTTACTAGCAGTAAACTAGCATTAGTTTTGCTACAGCTTCAGGTACTTGTAGCACGATGTACGAGGTACATCTGCTAGCATTACTATTTAATGTAAAAACACAAATATTAGACCAAAGAAATTGGTAGGAGGATGCTTCTAAACTTTCATACAGGCCACCAAGGAAAACAGGATAATTCCTGTTTTCCTTGGTGGCCTGTATGAAGGGTTGGTGCGTGCATGAACCACATGCTCCCTCAGTTTTACAACAGAACTTTTTGAACAAACATTTCAACCACCAATCACATAATCGGGCTGCTATTCAATGCGTTGCTTCAACACCTCTGACTCTGAGTCACTGAAAGCATATAACATGCAGTCTTGCGTGTCCAACTGACAAAAGTGAAGAGTGCGGTCTTGTGACTAACACTGGATCCCAAACAAAGGTAGGAAACTTGTCACTGCTGCGATGTTTAGCTTATTTGTCTTATTTGAAATTATGAAGCTTATTCTTGAAAATGGAGAGGATGTCTCTCCTAATCCATAGTAGATGGGCGTGAGAGCTAAAGCTCACATTCTAGTTTTGGACTAGGTCTATGGTTAAACCTCTGTTTCAATGATTATATATTTACTATATGCAAAGGAGTTAAACAGGCAACGATTTTTGCCTTGAAAGTTTGAGTTTAAATGACTTTTTTTTTCAGTGAAGCCACATTAAGCAAACACATCAAAGAGCAGTTTAATAGAAATGAATGATAGTTTACATATTTCAGCTTCTCGTGCTGCAGGAAAGACATCAAACCTATGCTCATCAGTGGCTAAAAACAGATCTTAAAACTGAGTTATTTTACTCAATAAATTAACAATAACATACAATTATATGTTGCCAGTGACCTGTTGGATGTTAAAAGGTTAAAAAAAGGGATCAGACACAAAGATGTATCTGGCTTTTCCTTTGTCTGTGCTCTCATGTTTATTAGCTGACCTGCATTTCAACATAAAGATAAAGCTGATAAGGGTAAAAATAAGTCCTGACTACATGAAAGGTCTACTCTCCTGTGAGCAGAAAGCCCAAAAAAATGTTTGGCCTGAAAGTGAAGAAGAAGAAGAAGAAAGACAATGAAGATCTGGTTCTGGCAAACAGGGGAGCCACAGGTAAGGCCTGCAACACACCCACACACACACACA